GTGCTGAGCTAAAATGGTTTTCCCTCCAGGCACAAGCCCTCCTGGCAGAGGTGTGGCCACTCATCCAGTGGTGGGATGGTGGTGGCCATCAGTCCTCCATCCCTAGGGCTTCTCCTGGTTGCTGGCAAATGAAAACCCAATTGTCCCTGCAAGTAAAAACGAGCCGAGTGTTGTTTGGGGTCCACTGGTGGATCGGTGATGTCTGGCCATGCATCCTCCTTGGTGAGGGGGGCAGGATCCGGCCTTGGCACCTTTTTGTCCTTTGCCAGCCCAGCCCCGTCCTTGTGCTGGGGGAAAATACAGCGGTGCAGAAGCACACACCCTGTGCAGTGGCCAGGGCCACCCCCCACGGGACAGGCATTACCCTCCCACAGTCCCCACCTGCATCCCCAATTTGGGGCATATCGGAGGGCCGGGAGCAGTGGCAATGTCTCTCTCCTCCCCTGCTCTAATGCTTCTTCTCTCACTTTTGCTCCCAGTCAACACAGACATAGAAACAGCCGTTGTCAACGTAACGTATGCAACTAAAGAAGAAGCAAAAGTGTAAGTGGGTTTTATTTTGTTTTGTCCATATTTTCACACCACCCAAACTTTTCCCAGGGAATCCCAGGTATTTTCTCCTGGCTGTTTTTCCAGGCTGCTTCTTGTCTTCTTCCTAAGCCTCTTTGGGTTGTTTCTAAGCTCTTATAGTGTAAGCTTCAAGTGCCTTAAGGGCTGTCTGTGTATCTTCTTGAGATACAGCAGGCAGATGTTGGTTTTATCTTGAGCCGTGTCACCTCCCATGTCTTCTCCCAGCAGTCAGCTCTACCTTCTCCTCTTTGCCCCACTGCTGGGTGGTCTCTTGCCTTCTCCCCTCGTGTGGGAGATGGGGTTTCTCATGGTGCCCCATCATATGTGCACAGGCACCACTGGACCAGCTTGGGGCCATCACCCATGTGGTTGTCCCCTCTTCCGTGCCTTCTCCTCTTGCCTCCATGGGGCTCCCAGATGTGCCATCTTGCAATTCCCTTTGGACACTGTCCTTCCTACAAGGTCCTCTGCAGGGTTGCAGTGGCCTTGTCTTCAGGGAGCAAAGCATCCTGGAAAGCTGAGGGTCAGGTCAGATAAGCAGTTCGTCAAGGAGTCATCTTCCCAGTATGGAAGTCCAGACCTAAACTGGGAATGCACCAGATTAATCATCAATCTGACCATTCAGCCCGAGCTGCTGAAGAGGTGGAATATGGTGAAGGAGGCGGGAGAGATGGTGAAGAAATGCTGTGATGATGGGAGATGTAAGTACCTCCTGCCATTTGGCAAATATTCAAGTCGGAGACCAGAATATTCAGGACTGTCACCTCCTGCTTCCTGGAGCCCAGAGAAGCCGGCTGATAGACTTCTAAAAGGCTTTTGGAAAGTTCTTCTGCCGAGGACAAGAGAGAGGGCCTTTGGGTGGATGAATAACTGATTAGAGGAGGTGAGAGGGAGCCAAGGGGTCCATGGCCAGTTTCTGCAGGGGAGGGAGAGCAGCAGAGGGTAAATCGCCTGCATGTTGTGCAGAGGAGTTGTAAAGAAATGCTACCCACCAAGAAAAACTGTAAAAGGACAGAAGAACCTTTTGAGGCTGTGCATCAGTGCAGTAGGGCTGTGTGAAGACATGCTTAAAGATTTATCATAGCCAGCAGAGGAGAAAAATACAAATTAGGGGTTATTTCAGAAATGCAAGGACTATTTCAAGCAAAACGCTTTGTTGCAGGCTTTTAGAGACTTCAGCCCTGTGCTAGAGACCGGCACTGTTAGCTAGGAGTAAGCAGTGCTCATACTTAGCAGCCAGGATAGCTTTGATATGACCGAAGCCACGTCCAGACAGACCCCATGCAGGAAAGAGCCATGGATAGTCAGGCTGGTTCCCAAGTGCAAATGTTACCAAGTCGGGAGCAGCTCTGTGTCCTGTTGCTTAACATCCAACCACAGGGTGCTGCAGTGCAGGAATGTGATTGTGATGGAGAAACTCTTCTAGTGGAGGTTTTTGTTCATGCTGAGTTCATGCGCATCGAAAGCAGGATTTTCCTGCTTTCCAGTGAAATATGAGCCTTGTTCTGTTTTTGGGAAGATGCTGCATGGTGGGAACAGCATGGGACAGAAAGCTATGGCTGTACAGGATGGTGGCAGAGATAGATAGATGTCCCAAGGCCATGAGACATGGGCCATGTCCTACTTTGAGTCCCTTTGCTGATAGACGTTCCAGCAACTTCCCGTCTGTGTTGACCCATTTGTGAGGACAGAGATGGGGAGAATGATATGCTGGTCCAGGAGGCCAGAGGAGAGTCCTTGTGCCTGTTGGGATGGCTATGCTGGGTACGCTCCAGCCTCGGCTGGCTGGAGGAAGGTGCCGTGGACCACAGAGAAAATGCAGCATGAGCTGTTGTGTCTTGGGATGTGTGGCAAGAAAGGAAGATGAAGAGTCTCACCAGCACAGCAGTGCTTGATTCTTTGGGGTAAGAGGCTTCAGGGTTAGAGAAGACGCTGTGGTCAGTCGCATCCAGCTGGACTGATGCCTGTCTTGAGTGGTGCTCCGCAGCTTGGCACAGAAGCAAGTGATGGGAGGAACGGCCAGGGAGGTTCGTGGGTATGTGTGTTTGGTTTAGAGCACCAGGAACAGGTGAAAGGAAGACCTTGGGAGAGAAATCAGACTGTGGGGAACTACACTGATTTTGGAAAGGGACAGTGAAGCTGCTGAAGTCCTCATTGGATGTGAAGTTCAGGCCTGGCAAGGAGCTGCTTGCAGTGGTGCATTCATATACCGCCTATAAATAGCCAAAGCAAGATGCGGCAGGAAGAGGGAAGAAGTACGGCTGAAGCGATCACTGCTTGCAGAAGTCACCACAGACTCCAGCACGGCTGAGCATTGCACCACCAAGGAGGGGCTTGGGGGGATGAACAGCCCAGGTGCTGCACCTCCAGCCTCACCAGAGCTGGAGAGGGAGTTGGGGTTCCCGATAGAGGGGGACCACATGCCACATCCTTCTCTTTAGAGTGGTGGCTCTTGCTCAGAGCCCCTGTCACCTTTTCCGTGTCCAAAAAGCCCGCCAGAGCATTTCCACACTGTGTGATAGCTTCTGGCCAGCACTTTCCGTGGGTGAAGTGGCAGATCCCCAGGCTGGCATCCCACCTCTGCTGGAGGGGCAAGTCGTGTGCCAGCCCTGGCATCACCCACATGGGAGGGGACATCATCCCACCATGCTATGGGGCTTGCTCCGCACAGGGAAAGTGCGGGACTCTGACTTCCCGTGACCGCCTTCTCCAGACTTGGGAAGGAGGAAGATGCAGGGCTGGGGAGGGACCACAGTCTACAAGGGGAAGTGTTGGGGGTGCTCTCCCCGGAGAGCCCCTCACCGCCCCCCACCTTTCCCTTCCTTGCAGAGCAATTGAGAAGCTGAGCGGCCACCAATTTGAGAACTATTCCTTCAAGATTTCCTACATCCCGGATGAAGAGGTGAGCTCCCCTCCACCCCCCCAGCGATCCCGCCGCGGGGGCCACTCTTCCAGGGAGCGGGGCTCCTCCCCGGGGGGCTCCTCGCAGCCCAAACAGCTCGATTTCCCACTGCGGATGCTGGTGCCCACGCAGTTTGTTGGTGCGATCATAGGAAAGGAGGGCTTGACCATAAAGAACCTTACTAAGCAAACCCAGTCCAAGTAAGTACCTTGAACGGTTTTGTTTCCTTCTGTAGGGCGCTGTAGGTCCCTGGCATGGGTCCTCCATGCACTCGGGGCTTTTGAGTGCCGGCCAGCACTGTTTTCTCGGGGTGCATCCGTCAGGGGATGATGGCAGAGCCTATGTCCTAAATGGTTCCTGCTGGCCAGGGTGGTCTGGGTGCAGCAAGAGGGGGGTGCACACCGAAAATGGCCAGGAATGGATTTCTAAAGCCTAATCACGAGAACAGCTGGGGATGAGGCTTTAGGGAGAAATGGCAAGTTTGGGGATAAAATGCTGAAGGGGGATCCTAGGTACAGCGGCTGGTGCCCGCGTGGTCTTTGCCCTCGGGATTTGCTCATCTCGCAGTGCCCTGTATATGGGCTAGAGCTGTTGTAAGGGGAAAGGGGGCACCGCGGGAGCGCTGCCTTGAGAAGGATGTGCTTTTCGTAACTGTCTTTTTTTGCAATCTAACATTTTTATTTTTGAAGGAAAAAAAGAAGGGAGGGGACTGTCTTGCCAAAGTTTTCCATTTTTCTCTTGTTGATATTCACGTTGATTTCACCTCTGATTTTCTGCATGGTTTTCCTGCATGGTTTTTTCCTGCCCAGATTTGTTTGTGTTTAACCCAAAGCTGTCTTCTCCCATGCTCATCATCCTGAACCCGGTGGTCCCACAGGACATAGGACTCCTGTACCAGAACATCCTCCAGGGTGTCCTAGTTCTCAGGGAAGCTTTTAGACGCAAATTATTTGGTAGTAGTGCATCCGCTTGAGCAGGAGGTAGGAAGATGCGCTGCTCTGCAGCCGAGTGAGCCAAACCCCAGCGTTGGGTTTGCAGGAAGAGGCTTGTATGGAAAGGGGGCAGACAAGTAGGGAGAGGGGCTCTTCAAGCCCAGCTAGCCCTAGAGCATGGCCACCTAGTAGCCGTGCACTGGTCCCGGTTGGCCGCAAGCCCTTCTTCTCCAGGTGAGTGCCCTGGTGTGATGAGCAGCAGGTGTAGCTGTGTCCTTGCCACCCAAGACTGGAAGCTTGCCCTTTGCAAGCCCTGAGCCTGGTGAGGAAGGTGGGAGGCACCAGCTGCAGCTTTCTCCTGACCGTGAGGCCAAACGCTGCTGCCTGGGGCAGTTTCTGCTACCGACCTGTCCCTTCTTGTGGGTTGGCTCCATGTTCCTGCCCCAAAGACCTGGTGCCGTGGAGGAATGACGTGCTCCGTGCTCTCACCTCTCCTGACCTGCCTGAGGAGGCCATGTGCCGTGGCAGGCCACCACCTCTGGGGGGACCTCATGCACCCGGCCTGGGCAGTCACGGGAGACTGTTGCCTTCAGTTTGGCGTGTCCCCACAGCTCTGTCCCTGCTCAGGCCACCCTCACCCACCGGTGTGATGATCCTGGGGACGAGGGTGCTGGTGACATCCTGTTACCAGCCCCTGCTCCTACCCAAAGCGACGTCGGGTCCTGGATTCCTCTGGTCACATAGGACTTCGCCCTTGTCTCCACACACAGTGATGCCCAGAGATGCTTCTGAGCTCTAGGGGACAAAACTTGTCCCCAGGTTGAGCCATCTTCTTCCTTGGCTGAGGAGGAGCCCAGACCAAGAACCCACTCCACCAGACCACCTTCCACAGTGATTGCAGCCCTTGTAACTTGATGAGGAGAGGACTATTGCTACCAAGCAGCTACGGAGCCAGGATAACCCTACGTGCACGCTGTACTGTCCACCTTGAAAGGGCTGTCCCTCGTGGCCACTGCTCTCTGAAGCGTTCCCAGCCCCCCCGTAAGGTGTCTTGGAGGTTTTTCCTGCTGCATGATGGGTGAACCTGCCCTGTCCCTGTCCCACCATCCCTGTTGTCACCTGCCCCCATCTCCCCTGCCTGCAGCACCTCGGCATCCCAGGCAGCTGCTGATGGGGTCAGGGGGTTGAGGGTCCCCTTCTCCATCTGCCCATTGGACTGGAGCTGTGCAGCAGCAGCACTGGGGTGTGCTGGGAACTCCAGAGCCCTCCTCCACCCTCCAGCTCTTTGAGGTGGGACATGCCTGAACGCAGCGGCCCCTTCCTGGCACCCCATCTTCTCTCTGCAAATTGAGCTCATGCCTGAACATCCAGGTTTGGGATGGGCTGGAGGTCAGCCAGAAACCTGGCCCGTGTCCTTCTCCTCCTGGGCTTGTCCAGGGTACTCGTCACTTCAGTTTGTCCATTCAGCCCATCTATGGCTCCTGGCCCTTCTTCGGTACAAAGGCTGAGCTGCATGCCCCATCTCCACCAGCTTCAACTGCTCATGGGTTCAAGAAGCTGCCTGACTCCTGTCTGTGGGGTTTGTTGGGGCAGCCATGGATTCCTCGTCAGTTCCCCCTAGCTGGGAGCATCAACCCGGTGTGACATTGTGGTACTGCTTTGGAGCATGGGCCTGTCATCGCCTCTTGTGGCCCATTGTGATGCATTTGCCTTCTCCCCAGCAGAGGGGGTGTCAGTGGGTGTCCCCATGCCTGCTGGGCACTGTCTTTGAAGTAACAGATTCTCCAAGTCAACCTGATGGAGCTCCACAGCTGGGAGTACCTTAGAGGGTGTCACACAGCACACAACTGGGTCACTGTGTGCTGTAGACATAACCAAAGGGCAGGGAGAGCTCAGCGGTGCCAGTGTCTCCAGCACCTCTTTGCACAGTCTAAGGAGGACCAGTCTCCTGCCTGAGCAGCTCTGGCTGAAGCTGTATGAGATGTGGAGAGATGTAGCCTGCAAAGGGGATCAAACTCTGTCTTCATTCCCTCTTCAATGCTCAGATGAAACCACCCTGGGGTCCCTTTTGAAGCTGTTGGGGTAGGCCCTTCCCTTATCCCAGGGAAGGTTCATCCAGCTGCTCCCCCTCTACCTGCAGATGAAGCGTCCTTGTTCCTACGCGCTGGTTCCTGAGCTCCTGGAAGAGTTGACCTGTGCAAACCCACCATGACCCTGCAGCATCCAAATGTGGTGCTGGTTAGGGGTGACTGCACCACAACCCTTGTCCTTGCATGCACAGCAGCACCCATGAATGATCCTGGTCAGGATGGGGACCTCTTACGAAAACAAAGATGCGGCTGGAGGGCACTGTGGTGGAGCTGAGCGCTGGTGGCATTCAATGAGTGGCTGAATGGCCACTACTGCACCTTTTCAGAAGATCTGGGCCAGCCCAGCCCTGGCTGCAGCAGTGACAGGGATGCTGAGGTGGTGGCCGATGGCAGGATGGCTGCACGGCATCATCCTCCAGTGGGAAGAGCGCGCAAACTCATGGAGAAGATGGAAACGTTGCTTACCCCTGTTCTTCAAGACACATGGTTGACGTGCGGGAGTCTCCTACCCTGCTTTCCTCTCTCCCTCTCTCTCAGGGCCTTTGCCAGGTACGGTTGAGCGGTGAGGAGCGAGCTGGAGGCATGTGCCTCCTCCCCGCCATGAGCTGAGGGGAGGACCAGAGGAGCTAGAGCACGGTCCGTGCCGGTGCGCAAGGCAGAGCTTTCTGGTCTCCCATGGAAGGGCGTGAGTACAAGCGCTGTTGTTGACGTGTGACTCCATGTCGTGATAAATGCTGCCTATGGGTAAGTTGTCTCTCTGTCCCAAAGGACATGCAACAGTCATGGCAGCCACTGGTCGCTGGACAGTCTCGGGTGTTGTGCAGAGAGAGGTTGAGGTTGGAAGGGACCTCTGGAGACCTCTCCTGCTCCAAGCGGGACTGGTGACAAAGATGATAGACCAGGTTGCTCAGGGCTTTGTCCAGTTGAGGATTTGTTCTGCCCTCTCTTGATGCATCATTTGACGTTGATTGACATCCCTCAGCTCCCAGGGAGACCTCAGGTCATAGAGGTGAATGTAGGTCAAATCTGATCTAAACCAACTGAAGCGAAACACTACCTGGGCTTGCATGAAACCAGGTGACGGTACACGTACATCAGTGAGACCCAGGTTCACCCCAGAGCTTGAGCAGGTGTTGAAATGAGCTTTTCTATGAATGGCAAGCTCAGCTCCTGAGCTCTCGAAAGCTGTGTGACACCAGACGCATCTTAGGGGGCTCCTTTCTGCTGGTTGTTTCGCTGTAGGGTTGACATCCATCGGAAGGAGAATGCCGGCGCTGCTGAAAAGCCTATCACCATCCATGCCACGCCAGAGGGGTGCTCCGAAGCATGTCGCATGATCCTTGATATCATGCAGAAGGAGGCTGATGAAACTAAATCGTAAGTACGATGTTCAGTGCCCCTGGCTCAGCAAAATGGGCGGGTTTGGTGGAAGGGAGCTAAATTGAGCCATTGGTGGAGAAGCAGCTGTCTTCTGTCACACCCCCCCTGCTTCCTGCCCCCCCCACCCCTGAGAGAACTCTTGGCATTTGGAGTTACAGGATAGAGTCATAGGTCATTTAATAACTTACAACTTAATAACTTTTCCATGGTGTGGTTGACAGAGCCATAGAGACTAGGTGGGTCCAAAGAGCATGTAGGAAAACTTAGAGAACAAAACCCCATGAAATACAGATGTGCCATCACGCTTGGGAAGTCCCTGAGCTCCCATTCCCCAGAAGCTGATGAGATACAGTGGTGGGAAACAGCGGTGGTTCTCCTTCCACCACATCGCTGCTGGCCCTTGCTGCAGATCAGTTTCCTGGCCAGACAGGCCTTTAGATTTTATTTTTTTAATCCGTTTTAGAGCAGAAGAGATTCCCTTGAAAATCCTAGCACACAACAGTCTGGTGGGGAGGTTGATTGGCAAGGAGGGCCGCAACCTCAAGAAGATCGAGCAGGACACTGGCACGAAGATCACCATCTCCCCGTAAGTCCTGGTGAACACTGAGCCATCCCCTTCCATTCAACATGGTATGGGCAGTGCTGGAGCCAGAAAACAGAGCAGTTGTGTCCTCCCATGCATGTTCCCCATCCCAATTGGGTGTTCTCTATCCCAAGTGAATGGTGGCATTGGGCAGGGAGAGGGCATGTTGTCACATGCTGTCTAGAGGGGGAAACCCTCATCTTTCTAATCAAGAGTTTTCCTTCTTTTTTTTTTTTTTTTTTTTTTTTTTTTTTTTTTTTTTTTTTTTTTTTTTTTGACTTGGGGAAAAAATGTAACTGTGTCTCGGGTTTTGTCTGTCGGCTAGTTTGCAGGATTTAACCATTTATAACCCTGAGCGGACCATCACGGTGAAGGGCAGCATGGAGGCATGCTCCAGTGCCGAAGTGGAGATCATGAAGAAATTGCGAGAGGCCTATGAGAACGACGTGGTGGCCGTCAATGTAAGCTCCCAGCCCTCCTGCCTGAGATGCTACTGCTGAGGTGGACAGAAGAAAATTCGGGGGGTTGTCAATCCGTTATGGCAAGGGTTGGCCCTCACCCATCGTGTCCATGCTATGTGATGACAACCCCCAAAACCCCCCCTCTGCCTTTTACACATTCTTCCATGTTTGTGCTTTCCCAGCAACAAGCCAACCTGATCCCTGGACTGAACCTCAGTGCTTTGGGCATCTTCTCGACGGGGCTGTCCATGCTTCCATCCACACCGGGGGCCCGAGGGGCTGCGGCAGGCCCACCCCCATACCACCCGTTTGCAGTAAGTGCAAGAAGTTTTGGGGTGTGGGGGACGCGTTCTTGGGGGCAGAGTGGTCTGTAGACTCTCCTGCTGTAGCTCTTGGGATTGGGCGGACACTGTAGCTATAGGAGGCATCTCATGGGGAGCCTTGAACAAGCGCTTCGACTCTTGGCTGTTTCGAGAAGATGCTCATCACAGCAGTGAAGTGGAGAAGACAGTGAATGAACATGGCTTGTCCCTCCTTGGATTTAGCTCCTTGGGAAGATTAGCTGCATTCCCATGTTGTGTTGGGGTCAGTCTCACATGTGTTTAAGGATTTGCTGTGTCCCAAGGGTGCTGCTCTCTGAAGGTGGCTGGGGGCAGCGTGTCCTGATGCCGGCATGGAAAAACCATGCAGGTGGTCTTCAGTCCTGACCCCAAACCCACCACTGGGTTGTAATGGTGTGGACTCAGTTGTGCCCTGTGTGTCTGGTCCTGGTGGCCATGTGAACCCACCGGCATTGCCACGGGGCGTGCGGAATGTGGTACGAAAGGGGATGAGCAGTGTGCCCTATGCAGCCATCAGCCTTAATCCCTGCCCTGGCACCTGAAGGGTTGTGCTTGCTGGGAGCTGAGCTTCACCTGATTTTATAGGCAAGGGTTTTCCTCTTTTGTGGGGTGCCGCGGCTGCTGAGACCTGGGGCAAAGCAAGCCTGGGAAGCAGTTTCAGAACAACTGAGGTTGCACGCGAGCAGGGACGGTCCAGCATTGGGAAGACAGGCCAGCCAGAGTGCTGATGGGGAAGATCCATCCCCAAGCCACCAGCACCTGCAGAGCACCCTTAGGATGGCCAGGCTCTGTGTTCTGTCTCTGTTAGTCTCTCTCAATATATCTGCTGAGATGCTTTGGATGCATGGCAACCGGTGCGCGGGTTAATTTACTTGTGCTGTTTTCTTTTCCTGGCGACGCCAGCAGCAGAGCGGTCGGAGGAGAACGGTGAGTGCCGGGCTGGCGGTGTGGAGGGGTGGATGAATGTCATGTGTGTGATGGCCCCGGAGGGCACTGAGAGGGTCGGTCGGTCTGTCTGTCTGTGCACTGCCAGCCTGCGGAGGGGTGGATGAATGTCATGTGTGTGATGGCCCCGGAGGGCACTGAGAGGGTCGGTCGGTCTGTCTGTCTGTGCACTGCCAGCCCGTGGAGGGGAGGATGCTCTGCCTGCATCGGCTGCCCGAGCAAGCGCAGCCTTCAGGAAACATCTGCTTGAGCGTTTGTTGGTGCGATGGAGAGAAACTGGGCAGGTCTCCTGAAGGGCAGTGCTTGGTGTGGACTCCTTCACCCCAGAACTTTGCATGGCCTTTTTCAAGCCACCCTGGCGAGTCCAAGAGGAGCGATCGCCTCTGCCATCATTTTTTGTAGTAAAACAAGGAGCAGGCAAAAAAACCAAAGGAATCCAGCTTGGCTCCATGGTGGCTCCTTCCCCCCAAGTACTTTGTGTTTCACACCTCAGAGTGGTCATTTCTGACCATCTCCTTGGCAGGACCTGGGATCAGTGGCTGTGGCTTAAACCAGAGCTTTAGAGACCTGGCAAGGATGGAGGACAGGGAAGGAGCCTCATGGTGAAAAGGAGGAGCTGGGGACACGTGGTGCCCTCCCCGGCCATAAGGACCGGCTGGGCAGGAGAGGACACACTGGTGTAGGAGACACAGAGGAGCCTGTGGCCAGACGCAGAGGGTGGATGTGTGGAGTGTGAACTCAGTGCAAAAAGGAGCAAAAATCCTCAGTGCAGTGGGTTTAGAGGGCTGGGAGTGAGAGCAGTGTCTGCTCTGTGGAGGGGAGCTCTGGGTCTCCTCCTCCACCCAAGTAACTGTGGTTTGCAGGTAGCATCTGGTTGCACTTGCCCAAATCCAGAGCGGGAGAGAGTTGTATCTGCTGCCAGGAGAAATGTCTGATGTATTTGAGACATGGAGGAGTTGAAGAGGGGTTGGGTTGAGTTGAGCTGGGTTGGGATGCTGGCACACACCCCTTGCTTTTGGCCATGGAAAGACCCACTGTTTTTTCCCTGTCCCCATCCCAGGTCTTGGGGGAACGGATTCTTCAGCCTTTGCTTTTTCTTCTCCTGGAACTGGAGAAGGGAAATGGTGATGGAAATCAGAGCCAAACCAGATGTTTTGCTCAGTTCTCACCAAACCCCCACCTTCTCCACTGGGGACTGATGGTGGTTACAGCACGGTTTCAGCTTTCCAAGGTTGTGGCTGCTCCAAAAGGCCATAGGGGTCGTTTTTCTGCTACAAACGCTGGCAGGACACAGCCAGAAAAACAGCAGTGGGGACAGACTGGGAGTAACTAGGAGCCCCCATCCACCTCCTGGCCCCATTGCGCTGTGCTGCAGGCACAGGGTCCGGGCTGCAGCTCACCCCGATGCAGCCTCGGGTGCACCCGTGCTCTCCAGGAGGGGTTTCAGGGGCTGAAGGGTTGTCCTTGTGTCCCTGCCAGGCTCATGGTGGTGGCACTCTGCTCCATGTTGGGATGGGGGTGGCCAGGAAGGGGCTGGCACGTTGGGGACGTCACTGACCGTCATTCTCTCTCCCACCATAGAGCTCCTCAGCATACCTCTCAGGTCTGTACGGAGCCCCCCCAGCCAGCGCCTTCCCCCATCAGCACCCTGTAAGTGCCTGGCACCTCCTCCTGTGAGATCTTCGCTCGGGCACCTTGGGAGGGTGGGCACCTGGCCGGGGCGGGAAGCCACTGCCCTGGGATGCTGGCAGGGGGCAGCAACCCCCCGGTCCGGCTAGTCCCCTGACTATCTTACTCTTCCGTGCCCTTGCAGCTGCCGGAGCAGGAGGTTGTGAACTTGTTCATCCCGACACAGGCAGTGGGGGCCATCATCGGGAAGAAGGGGCAGCACATCAAGCAGCTGGCACGGTTTGCCGGCGCCTCTATCAAGGTGAGCAGGGCGCTGCAGGGCTGGTCCCGGGCTTCGTGCCTCAATTTCTCCTTCCTACTGCTGAGGGCAGCAAACAGGAGCCCTTGGGGAGCGGTTTTGCTCCCCATATTGGTAGAAACCCAGTCCTGCAACACCCCAATTATCACCCCTGCTTGGGTGGGAGGGGATGCTCCTGCATGGGGGATGCCTCTGCATGGGGGGGGGGCAGATCGCCCCAGCAGAAGGCCCCGACGCCAGCGAGCGGATGGTCATCATTACGGGGCCACCCGAGGCTCAGTTCAAGGTGCGCTGGTCATGGAATGAGGAGGCTCTTCGCTCAGTATGGTGGTTTTGATGCTGCTGGGTATCAGCACATCATCACCCTCAGGGATGGGGGGCACAGCAGACACCACGAGGACCGCTGCCAGCCACTTTTACTTCCCTTATGTCTCCTCCCCAGGCCCAGGGGCGAATATTTGGGAAGCTGAAAGAGGAAAACTTCTTTAACCCGAAAGAAGAAGTGAAGCTTGAAGCCCACATCAAGGTGCCTTCCTTCGCCGCCGGCCGCGTGATAGGCAAAGGTGGCAAGACGGTAGGTGGGGGGTGCCGGGGTGCTCCCCCTGCCCCGGGGCTGCAGAGCTGGGCATCGCCCATCACCCCTGCCCGCCCTGGGGGGCAAAGCCCAGGTGCTCAGTGGTCACAGCAACGTCTTGACCCCAGCCCCGTGTCCCGTTGGTGGCTCTCGTTGGGTGGTGACCGTCCCAAGGAGGGGACAGGGTGTGCCCCTTGGCAGCCTGGTGCCGTGTGTGGGCTCGGAGCCGGGGTGACAGCAGCAGCAGAGGATTTTGGCTCTTCCACAGCAAAATCCACGCGGGGCTCTGTTGTTTGCTCCAGGTGAACGAACTGCAAAACTTAACTAGTGCAGAAGTCATTGTGCCACGAGACCAAACCCCGGACGAGAATGAGGAGGTCATCGTTAAAATCATTGGGCATTTCTTTGCCAGTCAGGTAAGGTTTGGCCATGGCTTTTCCGCTATTCCCAGCTGGTTTCATCCACGAAGGAAAGCCGCTGGGCTAGCTGGCAGCCCCGAGCACAGCACTGCCTGAGCATCCTGCTGCTCTGTTCTGGATGGTTCCTGTGCAGCCAGGATGCACTAAAGGTGTCGGCAGCTCTCCCCAGCTGTGCTAGCACTAAAATTAAAGATTGGCTTGATTTAGTGCCTTGGACACTGTGCATAGTGGCACCCAGCGTGTGAATCGGCTCCTTCCTGGCATCAGTGCCGGCAGGGAGCTCCTGCAGGCACCCATATCCCACCTGGGTGCACTTACTGCAACCTTGTCTCCTGACTGCTGGAGCGAGATGGCAGCACCCCAAAATTCAGACTTTCGATAGAGGAAGCACAAGTTACAACCCTGCGGTGCTCCGCTTGCAGCTGTGCAGGAGCAGAGTGGCTCCTTCTTTAGAACATCCTTAATTATGGCTGTGCCAAACCATGTGCTTGTCCTGTAATTAAAAGCTCAGAGGGCGATAAGCGGTGAGACGGCGGGGAAAGAACTACTGGGGCTGCTTCTGGTGCCCACTCTGACCCCTGGCTGTTGCTTCCCCCCAAGACTGCACAGCGCAAGATCAGGGAAATCGTACAGCAGGTGAAGCAGCAGGAGCAGAAACACGCTCAGGGAGCCCCGGCCTCGCAGCACAGCAAGTGAGGCTCCCACCGTGCCGGCCAGCACCACCTGATGAATGTAACCCCGTTGACGCCGCCGGATCCCCCAGCAGGTCAGGGGAGCAAACCAAAGACCCCCCCGAGCTCCCGCCGCGGCCGGGGTGCTGCGAGGATGTGCAGCGGAGGGGTATGGGGAGGGCTCTCTCCATCCCACAGCCTCCCCCTTACTCCATCGCCTCCCGACGCTATCCCTTTAGTTGGACTAACATAGGCAGAGAGAGAAATTTTTTTTTTTTTTTTTCTTTTTGATTTCCTAAAAGCCACCCATTTCATCCAGGCACGGCCAGAGGAGCTCGCCCGGCGTGGGGGGCTGCGGCACACAGCGTGGCGCTCATCTATTTTAGAATTAATATATCGATAACGAAACTAACGCCGATTTTTAAGTTTTGTAAGAATTTTTTTTTAATTCTTTTTTAATTTCAGAGGGGTCAGCGGGGAGGGGGATGTTCGTTTTTAGCAAAAGCAGGCTTTTCTAGAGTTTTAAGAAAAGGAGCTAGTCCATTGGTTCTCTAATGCACAGTAGAGCAGAGATGTAGGATTGCCAGCAGGGGAAAAAAAAAAAAATGTATTAAATGAGTGTTAAAAAGCGATTTCTTAAGGGCTTTGAGAAGAGCAGTGCCTGTATGAGCCAACAGAAGGGATACCGTCTCCTAAAAGAGGAATCTCTTTCACATACCCTTTCCTCTTTGCTTCACAGAGTCCAAAACTGGGGTTTGTATCCGTTCTGTCCCCCCTTTCCAGCTGTCTGTCTGTCCCCCCTCTCTCTCCATCACTGCCTGACACAGCCGTGCTCAGCACTAACATCCATGGAAAATGACGGGCAGCACCAGCCCTGCCCGCTTTGGGCGGGGATCTTCGGGGAAAGATCTCTGTTGCAGGGAGAGAAGGGGAAAATGGGGGGGAAAAAACAGATTTACAACAGGAGGTCAGCCCAGGGCTGGAAAAACAACTAGCAAAAATTTTTTAAATTAAAAAAAAAAAACAAAAAAAAAACAACCCCACACAACGCACGCATACACACACACACACAAAAACTACCTCAGGTTTTCATACCTCAGCACCTTGCGGTTGTGTTTCCCTTTTAGAGATTTTGTATGCCTTGTAAAACTGATAGTTGGAGCATTTTTTTATTTTTTTAATAAAAAACGAGTTGGAAAATGATCTTGACCAAGTCAGCTGTTTCTGACCAAGTCAGAAACCATCCCATGTGTCCCAGGGCTCTTCCATAGTCTCCTTCTGCTAGCTGAGAGCCAGTGGCCATTCCTTCAGAGAAAGCTTGAGAAATGTTTAAAATGAAAAAAAAAAGAAGGGGGGGGGGAATCCAAAAAATCAAACAACTATAAAAAAGGAAGAAAGGAAAAAAAAAAAAAAAACCACACCACAACAACAAAAAC